GTCGGTCGGGCGCGCTCGCTCTAGCTGTTAATATGGCTTTTATAGATTGTCTGTTAGAACAATCAACCCTATATGAAAGGTATTTTTAGCAATAAGTTTCGCATGGTAGCTCTAGTTTTAACTAATAATATATTTTGTAGATTGTACTATAATTTTGCTCCATAAAAAGCCTCCTTCCTTAAACTTCTTTTGCATCAATTAAGACGCCGTTTTTAATTTTTTGGTCCATTGGGACAGTTAAAGTTAAATATATTTAGAAAAAACTAGTGATTTTGGTATATGAAACAACAATTTCAGCCAAAGTTTTACACAAAAGAAATAAACAAACTTTATTAAATAAAAAACTCAAAAGAACATAAAAGGAACAAACAAAAAATATAAAATTAAACCAAATACAAACATAATAATTTTTACATTTCCAAATCTTCTTCATCTTCTTTCCTGTCTTCATATTCTATCATTGCTACTTTATTTTCACAAATTTTAAATAATTTTACCAAATTTAACATTTTAAAAGATATAATTTTGACTTTTTTAAAAAGAGCACAAAATTTAAATGTCAAAGTAATTATTAGGTATTTTTTGTTTTAGTCGGGTCAACTCTGAATAAAAACCGGCAACACTGTAATTTAAAGAAAAAATCGATTTTCATTCAGAAAATCTAAAGTATGTCATAATACAAATTAACAAATTAAAACATGATATTAACTGCGTTAGTTCATCAGCTGATTTTAGTTTACAGTTAAAATGGCTTTTTAATGATTATTTCTGTATTTTTTTAATAATTTTACAGTAGATACATCAAAACAAAAATATCGATTTATAGAATATATCGATTATATACAATAGAATTCTGTCATCGTGTCATCGGATTATTAGTGGTTTATGACTTTTCACTCAAAAAAATGGTGTAAAAATTCAAAATAAAAAACGAAAAAAATAAGGTGCAATAGTAGTTCCGCTAAAAAAAAAGTATGGTAGCGAATTATAAACAGTCTATACAACATTTTCTCAAATTTTTGTAAAAATCGGTGAGTTTTGTATATACTCAAATTTTTCCCTTCGTCTCATATCGCAGCTCGGACCAGTATGTTGAGAAGAGAATCGCCCAAGCAGCGACCAAATTGAGTAAAATGTCTCCCAACAAAATACAAAATAATTTACATTTTGAGTTTAACATAGAGTTTTAATTCGATATTTTATTCATTGTTTTATAAGTAACTGTGATTAGAAAATTATATATCTATTATAATAACAGAAAAGAAAGTAAATAGTAGGTTTTTCAATTTGATGGAAAAATTAGAAAAATAGGTAGGTATGCCAGTTCTATTTGTTGAAATGAAATTAAGCACCTATTATTACCTACCTATTACAAAACATATTTAAGAGGGACTGAAAAATATGTAGTTGAAGAAAAGATTTAAAATGAAGAATTTTAGCAGGTACAAAAAAATAAAGTTTATTTTTATATTTCTTTATAGGTATAATTTAATTTGTAATATTTTTTCTTAAAATTAAACTACAAGATTACCATTAGTTGTATGGATTTCCTAATTAAATAAGGGTTCTTTCTTCAGGTAAAATGTAGCAAAGTTCTGAAGTACGATAGGATATGTTTGCAGACAAGTGTTTTGAAATGAAATAAATCAAATCTATACGAATTTTGTCTCCACTAACAAGATGTTATATTCAACAGTCGAAAGTGTAAACTTGTAGGCAACAGCTTATTAAATGTATGTAGAAGTCCAAGAAAGTGCAATGGTACCAGCTTTTACTATAATAATAATGGTTTTCATCATTCTCCTGTTTTTTTTTGTAGATAGGATTTATAATTGTTGCTTAAATTCCACATTGTGTATCAGAATGTCTTTGGTCTTCTTGAAAACATATTTTTATACAATATAAAGCAGATGGTATATTTTTTTGAGACATCCTTCAAGCCTCTCGAAAACTAAATGTTTATTTGCAGGTAAGATAATTTTGTATGATCATTTATTGTATAGACAAATAATTAAATAAAAATTATTAAGGCATAAAAAAGGTAATTTGTAACTTTGTGTCAGCAGAAGGATTTCCTACACCCAATTTAATATATTTTTTACAAACAAATAAAATATCTTTAGTATGATCGGTAGATATTTTTAATAATTCAGCACTACATATGTTTCGAAATCTTCTGGTGCAATCACAGCTTTTTAAAATTTAAAAAAACATTTAGGAACATAAACACTTTAAAATGATCATGAACAAAACCCATATTTTGTGATAGTGTGTAGGTAGCTTACAACTAGTTGATTAAATTAAAATACACCTTTTACACATTCGCAGAGTTTAATATATGTAAGTGTAGTTATAATCTTTGCAGTCTATTTTATAAACTACATTTAGTTGAGTTGCTTTCTTGAGTTTGGGTTTAAAATTTAAAAATAAGGTTTCGTTTATGAGCAATTTTTACATTATATCTAGAGAATATTTTTGACACTTGTTTGGAAAGTCCTTTTACATATAGCAATTTAATGTTTAAAAAAGGATGCCACACCAAATGTTACAGTGATAACACTTTATGCTTTTGACTATTTAAGTACCAAGCTATTTATTAAAAATAATAAAACAAGGTATTTGTTTTAGGTTAAATAATGAAAGTTTTGGAGGCCACAAATTATGGACATATTCAGATGGCAATAGCACTTTTAAATATATCCAAAATATTTTGTAATTTTAAATGTTAATTAACAATTTTGTAAATGGTTTATTTTCAAATAAATAAAATTTACTTTTATATTTAGTTATATTTTAATCATTTTGATTAGAAATTCATTAATTTTTAGTTAAAAAAAAAATAGTAATAAAGTTGTATTTTTTTTAAGTAGAACACCAAAAAAGCAATACCATTCCTGAGGCTTAAATATAACGATTTAACCCAACTTATATCAGTCCAAAAGTGGATGATTTCAGAAATACAGAGTGTTAAAAGTTCAATTTAGTTTTTCATAAATAATTTTTTTAATAATGTATTTTTAAAATATTTGGTTGGGAGGGGTTTGTGGGGTAAAATATTTAAAGCTGCTCCCATTTTTATTGTAAAATTTAAAGGACGCCTTTTTTATAAATCCAGATTTCTCAAAAACGGCTGCTCAAATCTACTCTTACCACTTATACCTTGCAGAACAAGAATTTTTAAGTTAAATACAGACTGGCGCTTAAATGTGTGCAAGATACAACAATTTTACAATAAAAATGAGAGCAGTTGCAATTTTTGTATACTACACTGTAGTTTTGTAATTTTTTTTTAATATGGGTTAGAAAAACAACATATGAATAGTAGTATCTTTATTTTGTAAATTTGTTATATTTTAATTAATAATAAAAGTTTGAAAAATAAAACAAAAATACATAAGAGGTGCCTATACAACATAATAAGTAAAAAGACAAAGTACATCTTGACATTTACATTGAATCAGAAACAAAAAACACTAAGTACTCAATATGTTAATCTACATCAGAAGATTCGTTGTGTTTTTAGCTGCCACCTGATTTATTTGTGCCTCTATCAATTCTATGGGATTTAACTCGCAGTGATATGGGGCAGCCACTACACAACTTTATTGGTTTCTTTAGCCTTTACATCGACAACATTCAAATTATGTGCATCTTTATGTTACCAAATTAGGTGTAAAAGTTGATATCACTTCATATTTAAATAAATTTAATATTTTTAGTTTTGTAACCATTCCTGTCAGATTTTCTTGTTGACAAAGGAATTTTTTTAACTTTTCGACTATGATATGATACATTTTCCATGACAATCATAGCATAATTAGAAAACTTTGTAAAAAATGTAGAAAACCAATTCTAAAATACTTCGGATTTCGTCTCGTCAAGGTAAATGCATTTTCTACCAAACCTTCAGAATTAGCACGTATATTAAGGCACCTGCTTTTGGCTTTTCAGGCCTGTTGATAAACCTTATTATGATGATCTTCATCAAAGTAGAAGCTTGGTCTGTTTTATTTTCTATATTGTTTGATGGATTTTAAATCTACGTATATAGTGTTCTATCAATACACTTTGACAATTTCTTTTCAAATATCTAAAAAAATATATACATAATAAATAAACAGTAGGTACATTTGACTGGTCAAAGATACAAACTTACTTAGTTATTATATCTCAAGAAAGTATATAAAGATGAATAATATATTTGTGGCAAATCTAAATATTTCAATTTTTGCAAAATTTTATTCAATCTAGATAACTCATTTTTGAAAAAGAAATCGTGTACTAATCTTCGAATAGCATTTATCATCATCATAATCAAATTTTTTAGAACTCCTCGTCTTCCATAAATACTTTTTAGACTAGATATTGTTCTATTATTGCGGTATTATTTCAATAATCGGTAAGTAGTTGACTTTGACCTGTAAGAAAAATATTGAGTATTTAATATTATTTTTAATTTGAAAGTAATGAGTAAAACTTACTGGTAGCTTGAGAAATTTTGGATATAACATCAACAATTTTGGTTTTCGTATTATTATTCAATACCTATTTGTACATATTTATTATTTACTGCTTTTCTGAGAGAGGAATAGCCTAAACTCATTCGTTTTCGTTGTTTTGATGGACTCCGCGAGGAACTGTTATAATAGTATTCGATGTAGAAGGATCCATAATCGTAAAAATTCAATACAATTGCTTACTAAAGTTTTGAAAAGAACTGTTATTAAAAAAATAAAATAAAAAACTAAGTAATAATGATGAGATATCAAAGCAATAACAAAACTTAAATTATAAAATGTCAGAATCGAAAATAGAACTGTCAACAGTAGCTAAAAAGTGATGTGTGAAACTGACTTCAATCTGACCAATTAGAAGTCTACAGAATTGCCAACTTAAATTCAAATCGCTCCTCTTAGTTTAAAAACAGAGTATAGTAATTTGTCATTGTTGAAATATTAAAATAATTATAGAGCTTGAAATTTGGTATAATCTAATCTTACCCTTCAACTCTTCCACAGCTGGTATGCGCAAACACCTTGCTTCCATCTTCCGAAGCTATCATGACTTCTTTATGACCCATTATCGATATGACTATAATTATTATGATTGCTAGTGAAAAACATAGAGAAGCACCTGAAAATTTCATGAAGTTAATTGTGAGCTATTCTCTAAAATGTATACATTGATAATAAAACCGAGAGGTAAACCAGTACCATAATACTGGTACATTTACACTCAAAATCACTACAAATTTTCTCAAAATTTCTGAAATCATGGTAAAAATCAATTTGTCGCTCAAAAATATAAATGCAGTGGTTTGTGGATCAAAAGACAAAGGAAGAGTAAAAAAAAGTCATCATATACAGTGGTGTTCCATAAAGTTGCCATCTGTTAGAAAAGTGAATAAAGGTCTATGATGCTGATAGCAGATCCGGTATACAAAAGGTCGACGAGCGTGTATTTTTCTACAAGCCAAGCCAGGTCCCTTTCAAAGATAATAAAAGAGTAAAACAGAACATATGCCATAAAAAAGAACATTTTAATCTTTAAAAAGTCGAAAGGGCATTTTGCTTGAAAAAAGGACAGGTGGCAACCCTAAAAATAGCCCGTATTAATGTTAGCTAGGTACTGCATTAGTTATCGATCAAATTCAGTGTTTTTTAAATAGTTCTAAAACAATTTTAATGCCAATTTGACATAATTTTTATGGCAGTAGCCAACTTTGATATGAGCTAATTTAAGTTTTTTTTTAAACTGTAATATTCAAAAAAATTCCCATATGGATCCAACTTTATGGAACACAGTGCCTAATTAAAGGAATTTTTGGCGAAATCACCGAAAGCATATAAAATCAATTTTAGGTAATTTTCGTAAAACGGGATACATTTTGACCTTAGTGGTTTACCCCTCAATTGAAACTATTCATACAATAATAAAACACGAAATTCCAATATCAAGACAAAAATAATATTTTTTTTTTAATTTAACCCTATCAAACTTTCGATGATCATTTTGAAACCTACAACATTAATCATTTTATTATGATGAGGGCAAAAATAGAAGTTATATCTTTTGTGTTCTGCAACATGTAACAAGTGCTTGGAAATATTATGATACAGTTTAGATAAGAGTCATTAAGATTTAAAATAAAAATGATATTTCATTTATTTACCAATAGGTACTTTGTAGGTGTTGATCCTGTTGATATACTCAGAAACTTTGCTTGGCTTTGTTCTATCAATGATGCTGTTATCACATGTAGATATCTTCGTATTGTCTTCATTAGTTTTTACTTTAGTTTTAATAGTGTCCATTTCTATTGCAGACATAATGATGGATGTGTTGCCAATGTTTCTTATTCAAAATGGTGCATAATTGAAGTGGTTCTTAGTTTATTGAAAATTACAGTTTTCACATGACTCTCTCCTAAAACGTATAGTTATACAGGGTGTCCTTTAAAATGTGTCCCAAAATTCTCAGGCAGATTCCTTAACCAAAAAATTGAAAAAAAGTTCCTATAGACCTATGTCCTAAAGTGCCCCCTAAGCGAGCAACAGCCTCTCGAAATCATTTTTTTTATTTTGATTTTTTGAATTTTCTTAAAAATGGAAACAAATAAAAGAACCAAATTTTGGCTATTAAATATGATCAATAATAGTGACCTTTTGACACCTTCAAAAAGAAATTATTTCGTCAGGGGTGTACTTGGGAATTTTTTGAAAATTTTGATTATTCATAACTTTTTTGTGTTTTTTGGTAATGACTTATCCATATTTTTTTTTACATTCTACATTGAAAACTACGTCAAAAAGGAATACTTGTTTGATCTCGATTGGAGCAGCCGTTTCCGAGAAAACATCATCCAAAGATATTCGTCCACTTTAGCTTAATTTTCAATTTTCCTAAATTACCTCGGTGAATCTCGTAAATAAAAATAACTTTTTTAGCTCTCTCTAAATAATTGTAGTTCAAATGTCGTGGTGGGACTATTTTTATTTAATAATAAGAAACGGTTTAAAAAAATATTTATTCTAAAAAAACAAATCAAAAAAAATTAAAGCAGATGCTCAATGTGGCGACCATTGGTTTCCACACACAAGCGCAACCGTCGCATCATAGACTGTCTTACACGAAAAAATACTTCAGGATTACTCCTAAGAACTTCGCAATGATGAAAAACTCGTTCTTCCAATTCTTCAACTGTTTCAACAGGACTGGAATAAACCAATGATTTTAAATAACCCCAAACAAAAAAATCCATTGGATTTAGATCTGGTGAACGAGGTGGCCAATTAACAGGACAACCTCTGCCAATTACTCTACCCTCAAATCTTTCGTTAAGGTGCTGTCTAGCTTCAAGGCTGTAATGTGGTGGAGCTCCATCATGCATAAACCACATGTTATGTCTGATTTGAATCGGAATATTATCAAGAAGCTCATGTAAGTTATTTTCCAAAAAAAGCCTGTATGCTGCTCCATTTAACCTATTCGGCAAAACAAATGGTCCAATAAGGTAATTATCAATAACTCCAGCCCAGACGTTTATTGAAAATTTATCCTGGTGGTGACGTTCAACAACCGCGTGAGGGTTATCTTCAGCCCATTCATGCATATTTCGAAAATTTATTATACCATCTCTAGTGAAACCAGCTTCATCGGTAAATAGCACTTTATTAAGAAACATTGCATCTTGATTACATCTTCCAAGAAACCATTCAGAAAAGATAACTCGCGGCTCATAATCAGTAGCTTTAAGTGCCTGAACTTTTTGAATGTGGTAAGGGTACAATTGTTGTTCACGCAAAACTTTCCATACCGTGTTACGTCCGACTCCCACTTCTGAAATTAAATGAGAGAATCTGTGTAGTGAATAGTTAAGAAAGAGAATCCATTGATTTGGGAAATCAGATTTTTTCTGCATAACGCAACTCTTTTCGATACGAAAAGTCGTGAAATGTAAGAGAAGCAATAACAAGTAAAAAAACTAGTTTTATACGATAAGGTACGGGGTAGCTAAAATAATAAATAAGTAATTACTTACCATTTGCTATTTTTCTGGTACTTGTCGATGGGGTTTCAGCTACCCTATCCAAAATTGCTTTTTCCAAAGCAGGAGTTCTCACATAATTTTGTCTTCCACTGTTACTAGAGTTTTTCTTAAATGTACCAGTTTCCCGAAGTCTATCGTCAATTCTAGAAAACGTCTTAGCGCATGGAAGATGCCTATTTGGAAAGCGCTCCTGATAAAGTCTGCGAGCTTCATTGGCATTTCCAGAAGCGAGTCCAAAACATAAGTGCATGTCCGTCATTTCGCCGAATGTGTAATCATTATTGTAGTTATTGTGAGCCATTTTAAACAAAATAATAACAATACAACGAATCGCACCAGAACACTTTTAGAAATAATGTTTAACTGAAGAAACATTTTTATCAGTGAGCGAAAAAAATTATCCATGAAACACAAAAACGCCAAAAAAATACATATTTTTACTTTTTTATTCTAAACAGCTAAATACAAACCTTATGGTCTTCATAATAAATAAATGGGAACTAAATTTTTAAATTTTATTTAGAGAGCTAAAAATAGTATACAGGGTGATTGATTAGTGTGAGGAAGCTCTGTAGATCTGTTATAATAAAAGTAGGCAGCTTTAAGCTTCACATTTTAAAATTAGTTACGATGTGACAGGGTGTTTCATAAGGCCGTGCCAAATCAAAGTTATGTTTTTTAAATGGAACACCCTGTATATTTTTATATTTTTAGAATCTGCTCGATAATCTGATTTCAATGATATATCACACTTGTTATCTAATATGAATAGTAAAGGATCTACAGCTACTCAAAAATCACATTTTTTCAAATTGAGGTGGCTGTTGTAGCCAAACAGTTGGAAATCGAGGAAAACGGCTTACAGTCCCTATCCTAACTTTTTAAGGTCTATTCAGTGACATAAAATACATATTATTTGATACAGGGTGATCAAAAATCCAAAATCACATCCGATTTTTGATCACCCTGTATCAACTAATATTTTTTGCCACTGAATAGACCTTCAAAAGTAAGGATAGGGACATGTAAGCCGTGTTCCTCGATTTCCAACTTTTTGGCTACAACAGCCAAAATTGAAAATTAACCTAAACTGCACGAATATCTTTGGATGATGTTTTCTCGGAAACGGCTGCTCCAATCGAGATCAAACAAGTATTCCTTTTTGACGTAGTTTTCAATGTAGAATGTAAAAAAAAATATGGATAAGTCATTACCAAAAACACAAAAAAGTTATGAATAATCAAAATTTTCAAAAAATTCCCAAGTACACCCCTGACGAAATAATTTCTTTTTGAAGGTGTCAAAAGGTCACTATTATTGATCATATTTAACAGCCAAAATTTGGTTCTTTTATTTGTTTCCATTTTTAAGAAAATTCAAAAAATCAAAATAAAAAAAATGATTTCGAGAGGCTGTTGCTCGCTTAGGGGGCACTTTAGGACATAGGTCTATAGGAACTTTTTTTCCATTTTTTGGTTAAGGAATCTGCCTGAGAATTTTGGGACACATTTTAAAGGACACCCTGTATAGAAGATTTTTTGGAACATATTGAGAGAAAATTTATCATATTGACAAATAAAATTAAAACAGAATTAATAAATCTGGTGCATAAGATTTAATGATGGTGATATGTACAGTGGAGTAGAAATTTTTTGTGGTGTAGGCAAAGAACTCTCAAAGCTGCACAGCCTCTTTTGAAATTCTGTGCACAATAGGCTTGTTCCATGGGGCAGACGTTGGAAAGGCTTTTGGTAGGTAGAGAGGGGGTAAACATCAACCCACATTGGACTACTTCGAGAATTTCACAGTAATGGTTATCTGCCAGTGGTGTTTCATAGAATAAGTAAATTTAAATTGTTTCCATCGGAACCGGACAATCATATGTATGGATTAGCGGACCCAAAATTGTTATGTATAGTGTGTTTCAAAGTGTCTAGAAACTCTTTATAACATTTCAATAGTTATATCCGCCGTTCGAGTGTCGGCGTATAATAATAATAATTTGGATGGTTTATTGCATTATGGATGGTCTAGTGTTATTATTTAGCAGTTTCTATAACAAGAAATTAATCAAAATGGTGTCGTTTAAATGTTTTCAACATCTAAATTGGAGAACACATTTTAATAGTTTTAAGGTAAGAAAAAAATATTTTATAGCGTTTGCAGGGCAAAAAAAGTATTTTGAAATATGTTTCAGAAGGCCTAAAATCGTTTAAAAAAAAAATTAAAAAAAATAGCCCGTTCGACTGTTGGCGGATTTTTCCATTTTTTCGTAAACAGTTTATTTTTTTAATTTAAGCTCATGTTTAGGTTCGTCGGAATTTATTAATTTTCGCAAAGACTATGACCCCAGTATATATACCAATACAGTAGCGACAGATCATTTTTTATGAGGGGTCCATATTTTTCTGCGCATGTCCGAAAATAAGCGACAAAAACGTCAACGTCAATAGTGTCAATGCGATGTAAATGTAAATAATGTAAATATGTCATTATTTTTGTTTGTATGCAGTGCATATTTTGAGACATTTTTATTATTTTAGTTTTTCATTTATTGTGTGATATTTTTGAAATTGCTTCTGCACCTGATCAGAAAAGAAAGAGATGTGTCTATCGCCCTTGTCCATCTCAAACAGAGTAAACAGACAAAGGGACAAGTTATTTTGCATTTCCCATGGAGCCAGAAAGGTATGTCTTAAGAAAATACTTTCAATTTTTATATTAGAAAACCAAATATTTATTTGACAACCAAATATTTATTATTTAAATGTCTTGAGGACAATTTTTACAATTTCAACAAAAATAATGTAAAAAATATATAATTTCTGAACTACCGTCAATCTATACATTTGTTATCAACTTTTTTATATTTTAGGGCCAACATGTGGTTAAGAGCTTGTAATAGGGAAGATTTGAGTAACATAGATGTGAACATTCTTCATCGGAATTACAGGTTGTGTGAGAAACATTTTGAGAAGAATTGTTTTTCTAAAACGTTGAACCGTAAACGTTTATTGCCTACTGCTGTTCCCACATTTTGTATCCATCTAGGTCATCAGCCAAATGTCTATCTTCTCCCTAATACATCGACCAAGTGCTTCCTCTGTTGAGACTATCATTGAACATGAACGAGACATTTTTGAAAGCGTACCATGTGCAACCTTTGGACATTCTTAATCAAAAATCCTACCTCCAAATTATTATAATGAATTAGATGTTCTTTGATTCACTATGTCCATTGATTAAAAATGTTCTGATTGACTACATCTAATCAAAATATATATGTATTTCTTGTAAAGTAGCAAAAAGAAAACAAAAAAATGTATTTTGTGGTGTTATTATTTTAACTGTTTTTTAATTTTTGATTTGTTTCATT